TGACCAGAAGTGCTGTATAAACCAATGGGAGTTCAGAATAGAAATGTTTTCTAATCTGACGCAATGACGCATGCTCATTGGTTTATACAGCATTTCTCGTCGTGACAGACGTGTATGCGCCATATTGAGAATCCAGCTTTAGTGTACATGTACATACAGACTTATACTTACTTGCATTTCTATAGCAGGAGCAGTTGTTACTTCTGTTGCTGTAGTACTGTTAAGTTGATTAGTTTCAATAACAGGTGAAGAAGCATTGTTAGAATGACCAGTCAATTGAACTTTTCTTTTCTTTTCTATAAAAAATTGTCTCAGAAAGGAAAATACACAAAGTCTTACTTTTCTTAACACATCTATGATAAGCTTGATGGCATACACATATAATGATGCATATAAGTAATACTAATACAAAAAGAGTAGCAAAAACAGAAATTATAGCAATCTCTGCTGAAGTTAAATCTCCATCATCAGGTGAGCCTATAAATTGTAAGCATAAAACTGTATATAACGTCAAGGTTTAACATACTGCTTGTAACAGGAAGAGTTTCATTCACAACAATATTTGAAGAGGTAGTTTCAGTTCCATCAAGTCCTCCACTGACAGAACCTTATACATAAATTATAAATAAATTATTAGATATATTACATCTTACTGGTAATAGTGGGATAAATAGAGGAGAAATGAAAGGAGGAGGTAGAGTTTATTGGATCACTACCAGTCTCTTCAGGATTAGTACTTGGCACTAAGAGAAAGTGATAACAAGAAAGAAGAGTATAAAAAATTTAAGTGTACACTTGTATGTTTTTAAGTGTGTGCATTCAATCACTCTTGATTCAATGCATTAATCACACACCAAGCATGATGATAGAAATTACCTATGATAGTAACACCAAGAACGTCTTCAGTAGAATTAAAATAAATTTTGATTCTGTTAGCCCCAGGAACTAATCCATTTATGATGTGAGATGTAGTGACAGATTTTTCATTTGATGGTGATACATACACTTCAAGAGAACCATTACTTATAGTACCATCTCCATAATCAATGGAAATGAAACAAGTAAATGAACAAACTTTTATGTTGCTTTGAACCTACATGTAAATAGTTATTACACACAACAATTATTAAATCATACTTGAAAAGTTATATTAGTGCCCAACGTTCCTTTAGTTGAATCATAAAACTCTGTTTTATCAAGTAATATAGCATTACAGACTATAAGGCAATAATAACAGTATTACTAATATTAATAAGAATAAAATGTTAAAGTATTTACCATTGATGTTAAAGGTTTTGGTCTTCAATGATTGATAGCCACCGATTGAAGTAGTAATACCGAATGTTTCTACCGCACTACAATTATTGACATTTGGATAGACACTAGTATCAGTAGTGCTAGCAATATGGACGCCACTCATTGATACATTATAAACTGGGTCTTCTTCTTGTGATATGTCATTGGAAAAGAAAAAAGGACAAGACCACGAGAGTACTCCTGTATTAACGTCATAACTTAAAGAACTAACCGGTGCTACACCTAAAATAAATTAATGCACATGTCATCATAATAGTAGGCTAAGTCCACCTTTAATTATGTGTACCAATTTTCAGTGTTTTTGATCCATTTGGGGGCTTGGTTCTACTAATTTTAGTTAATGGTGAATTCATCATTACAAGTACAGTATGCTTTTAAAATCAATAAGCACACAAAAATAAAAGTGGACTGAAGACACTGAAAACAACTACACTCTCCTATTAATCTTAGATAGGCATTTTGTTGAGGTTTTAGGCTTATTAAATTTACTTCTGACATGCAGTGAATATCAATATAAACTAGTATACATACCAGTAAAATGTATGCTCCAACTACAGGTTTTCACAAGTTCATTGCCACATCTAATCTCACAAGTAACACCAAGTTCGTTCTTTGCCGGCATTCCATTGACAAGAAAGACAACTGAAACATTAACCGGACACTGTGGACAGGAGTTACTGACTGAAATATTTATTGGAATAAACCCCCCATCAGCAACACCAGTAAAACAAGAAGCACCAGGAGCTTCTGAGTATCCACAAACATGTATTGCACTGCAGTTAAGATAGGCAGCGCCATCAAAAGGCATGGAAAAAGAAGTTGCAGTCCCTATAAAAGTGATACACAAACTAAATTAAGACAGCTTCGATATTAAGAGCTTACCAAAGGCTAGGGAGGACGACAACAGAAAAGAAAGAATGTACCAACACGACATTCTTGAAGAGCCAAGAGTGTAGCTCGGATTGAAGTATCCTGAGCCAAAGTACGGAAACCACGCCTCTTCGTAATCACGGGCCGGATCCTTCTTCTCCCTCCTACGAGGCCCTACATTCCAGCATAGAATAGATATACATTCCAGGTGTAGTCTCGCAGCGCTGGCCAGATTACGCATTCCTCACCGTGCAAGCCTATGACTATGAATATTGAACAGCTTCGTCAACCAAAGAAGTATATCCTTCCCTGATAAGTCTCTTTGTAGTATTGACATCTCTTTACAAGACACTTTTGAGGCTCTGTGCTCTCTTAAGTGTGACAAAGCTATGGGAGGGGATGGCATCCCACCTGCCATACTTAAAGGTGCTGCCACAGCTCTCTTAGACCCCATCCACCATCTATTTCAATTATGTGTTTCTCAGTCTTCTATTCCTACTCAATGGCGCGATCATTACATCACACCCATCCCTAAATCAGGTGATAAGAGTGTCATTTCCAACTATCGCCCAATTTCTCTACTGTCATCAATTTCTAAACTATTTGAGAAGGTTGTATCTGATAAAATCTTTGATTTTTTAATAGATGCCTCTGTTTCTAATTGTCAATATGGCTTTATTCGTAACCGCTCCACCATCAAGCAGCTACTTTTACATACCAAGAATATTATCAATGCCCTTGAAGATCACCAGCAACTTGATACTGTTCTTCTAGACATAAGGAAGGCATTTGACACTGTCCCACATCACATCCTCTTGACTAAACTCTGGCAGGCTGGTATCACTGGATCTCTTTGGCAGCTTGTCAGGTCCTACTTGTCAGACAGGAGGCAATGTGTCTCAGTGGCAGGTCATCACTCCTCTTGGTTGCCTGTTACATCTGGTGTGCCACAGGGCAGCATTCTTGGGCCTCTTCTTTTTCTCATCCATATGAATGATCTGCCCTCCTTTATTTACTTTTCTTCTACTCTGTTATACGCAGATGATACTAAGCTATCTAAGCCAGTATCTTCCTTATCTGATTGTTCACAGCTTCAACACGATATTTGGGCACTGCAAAATTGGAGTGCAGAGTCTGGCCTCTCATTTAATTCAGCTAAGTCTTTTCTGTTACGTTTTTGTCCCAATTCTTCTCCTCTTGTCAAATTTGATTATCTCCTTAATAATGTCCCTATCTCTTCAGTCTCAAATTGTCGGGACCTTGGCATTGTCTTCTCCAGTGACCTTTCATGGTCTAATCATTACAAGCATATCTCTAAAAAA